CCCACTTCACCCCCTCCCCCGTCAACCTTTTCTCGTTTTGGGTTGCCAATTTCTGTTTGTACCCCGTTTCTTCAATTTACATTCCATGCTTTATTAGCATTCTCGAACTTGCAGTCTGATTAACTCATTTTCAGATCATAATAAAAATGGTAATAGTTTCTTCACTTTTCGCTACACTTTACTTTTTCTATGCGTCAATTTTTTCAAAAAGTTGTCAACAATGTGTGTGTGTGTGCGTGTATATGTGTGTGTGTGTATGTGTGTGTGTGTGTGTGTGTGTGTGTGTGTGAGTGCGTGCAAGTGTGTGTATGCACCTAATTGTATGCATATGTGCGTGAGCAAATTATTTTTGGATGTGCGTGTGGTACTTAAAAACGACATTATTTTTCTGTTCATCCGTGGTTGACACTGTAGTAAATATCTGACAACAAAACTTGGTACATAGCATGGAGTAATCTGGGGAACCCATCTGAAATGGTTCAATATTTTGTTGTCCTGTTGGGATTGCGTAATTTTTCTCTTTTGCCATCTTATCTAGAAGTGAAGGACCTTTAACCCTATCCGTACGCCCTGGGATCATAAATTTTAGTATCCCTGGGCGGGCGGTTGTATTCTTCACATTTGAGAAAACTTCTAGTACGAAGATCTCTTTAAAACTTTCAGTATTTCTCAAAAAATCATTCTGACAGACTGCTATTCAAAGCGTAAGGATAGGATTAACGAGTAAATTAAATTTCCTCTTTGGAAAGAGCCACGTCGTATGGATACGATAGTAAAACACGACGTACGGATAGGGTTAAGTTAACAGTTGTAAAGCGCATATTATATAGCATGCTGTATAACATGGATAACCGCCTTGAAAATTATGTAGTACTAGTTATCACTAAGTGTTATCGTTTTATTTAATTAGCGAGTAGTTTATTTTCCTTCTGAAAACTATTTAGAAATAAATCTTTTAACACTATTCTAACATTACATGTATCCAAAACAGTATTCCTGTGTGAATTTTCGTTGGTTTGTCTGTTCTTTTCAGTTTCGTTTTGTTTGATTTATTATTTTTATTGTTCTGTTTTCTTTCCCATTTTCAACTATATAAAGACTGTAAGAGGTTTTTAATAGTGCTATTTATAACCTCTCTGAAGACTACAGCAAGGGAGACTATAGTATATTTACATTTTGTTATTTCACCAGTTGTGCCCCTTAACTCTTGAACAAGACAATTTTAATAAAAATAATATGATTAAAAAGAACACAGACAACGAAATTAGGACCACCATCAACAACAAGAGTACTGTTGTAAAACTATAACCATCACATAGGCAAGGGGCATAAACTGAAATATTACAGTCTCACCTGCTCTAACTGCCCCCTGTAAAAGATACTCACCTGAACAAACAAGCACTGTTCCTCCCCCCC